GATTTGTGGAGACAGGACTGCCATTTCAGCTAGGTAGAGGCAAGATCTCCTGGTTTGGCTGCTTTGCTTCTCCGATCTTCAGCTTGAAGCTTGAACCCCAATATTTGTCTTTTACTTTTTGTGCTACAACAGGGTTTCTCTATGTAGACCACGGAGACCAGGTTAGCCTCAAACTCAAAGCTATCTACCTGCCTCTGCCTCCAAGTGCTAGAATTACAGCTGGCTCTGGCTCCTCATTTGTAAAACAGTAAATACTAGAAAAATCTTATGTGACTGTTACTAGTAGTATACCACGAGGTCAACAAAGCATTAAAAAGGTAGTAACTCAGTCAGGCGGTGGTGGCACATGCCTTTAATCCCAGCATTCAGGAGGCAGAGGCAAGCAAATCTGTGTGAGTTCAAGGCCAGGCTAGTCTACAAAGCTACATAGAGAAACCCTGTCTCAGGAAAAAAAAAACAAAAAACAAAAGTAATGAATCAGCACATAAAACACAAAGTATAATCAAAGAGTGGACAAGAAGGCATCTGAGAGGTCTCACGCAAACATGCTGTAGACAGGAGTAGAGTGGGGCACCTTTGGAATCCCAGCACTTGGGAGGATCAAACTTCAAGGTATTCCTTAGCTACAGTGAGCTTAAGGCCAGCTTCAGCTACCCCATCTTTTCTTTTCTTTTTTTTGGGGGGGGATATGAGGGGGAATATAAGACTCTGAGAGATTAAAATCAACTTCCCAAGATTAAGAATACAAAAACTACAACACAAGTCTCCCAGATATCTTTCCAAAAGAATTACTTTGGGAACTGGGGTAAAATGGCCACTCTGAGGAACATTTTGAAGATACTTGGAAACAGAAACAATCTTTCCCAGTACATTTCTTTTTGAGGAAATATCTTTATTTCTGGTAAGATAGGCCATCATTGAAGGAATGGAGGCTGATTTGCTTCTTTATTGCAGATAACAGCTTCTTTTCCCCCCTTTTAAAGTCTACATATTTCATTTTCGTACCTTCTAACAATCTGAAACAACTTTGCAATCTCATTTAACTACTCTCCCCTGTACTCATTTCCCTTCTATTATCTTTCACAAATCACATCACCATCTCCTTCCTTTCTCTCCATAACTATCAAAAAGAGCACAGTTAAGTAAGCATCTGATTAAAGCAAATGAGACTCCAAGGCCTTGTTCTGTCTTAAGCATTTATAGGGCAACTAGCTAACGCAAACACAAACTAAATCAAAAGGTCACACAGGCCGGGCGTTGGTGGCGCACGCCTTTAATCCCAGCACTTGGGAGGCAGAGGCAGGCGGATCTCTGTGAGTTCGAGGCCAGCCTGGTCTACAAGAGCTAGTTCCAGGACAGCCTCCAAAGCGACAGAGAAACCCTGTCTTGAAAAACCAAAAAAACAAAAAAACAAATAAAAGGTCACACAGTTGAGAGAATAATAAACATTAATGCTCACAGTGGAGACTAAGTATGACTAAGTTTGCCAAAAGACATAGTGATGATGGTGACTGGCAACTAATAGTCTCAAGTTTATGGTTAGGCACTGATCCTCAGAACAGATTTTCTTTTCCATTCTTTCTCTCTTTCTTTCCTTCTTCCTTTCTTTCTCTCTCTCTCTTTCTTTTGTGTGTGTGTGTACATGTGTGTCTTTTTGAGACAAGGTCTCGGGTAGCCCAGACTACCTCAAATTTGCTATATACACAAGTATAACCTTATACTCTGTATCCTCCTACTTTGGTTGTCCTACAACTCACTAGGTAGACCTTGAACTCACAAAACTCTGCCAGCGTCTGCCTCCCATGTGCTGGGATTAAAGGAAGGAGTATGTTACAACACCCAGCTTTTCTACTGGAAAAAAAAAGTATTATTGTGCATATAGTGGTCAGAGGACAACTTCTCAGAGTCAGTTCTCTCCTTCCACCCTGGGTTCTAGGAATCTAACTCAGGTCATCTGGTTGTTCAACAAGGGCTTATTATTTGCTGCCCCATCTCACTGGTAGCACACTCTCTCTTCGTGTGTGTGTGTGTGTGTGTGTGTGTGTGTGCGTGCGTGTGTGTGTGTGTGTGTGATCACTTGTGCATGAATGTGGTGTATGATATATGTACTTTGTGTACATGTGTATAAAGGCTAGAAGGTAGACAGATGTCAGCTTGCTTGCTTGCTTTCTATCTTTAAAACTGAGGGCAATTTTATTAGAATTTAAAAAGAAAAATTCCTGAACAAGCTGCAAATTTCAGCATCTGTCAAAAGGGAAATGACAAAGCAGAAGAGAAAAGCCATGCCATTTAAACCAACATGTTCAGCAATGGAGATTAGCCATGTCGTGGACAATCAACAGCATGGATAAAATCAGGGAAGGAGTTGTAACTTTTAAAAAAAGAAGGGAGGGAAGGAGAGAGGGAGGGAGGGAGGGAGGGAGGGAAGAAGGAAGGAAGAAAAAGAGTGAGAAAGTCCAGAGTATCAGGAAAAGTATGCTTTAGAAGGAGACAGACGAAAAGGAAGGACTCAGAGAGGAGGGCACATTTAACACAGCTACATGGCTTTAGCTCCATAAGCAACTGCCCAGCTCGCTCCTCAGTTTTACACCTTTAGGTTTGAGACAGGGTCTGTCTCTCATTGATTTTCTTTTTTTTTTTTTTTTTTTTTTTTTTTTGGTTTTTCGAGACAGGGTTTCTCTGTATTATTTTGGAGGCTGTCCTGGAACTCACTTTGTAGACCAGGCTGGCCTCGAACTCACAGAGATCCACCTGCCTCTGCCTCCCAAGTGCTGGGATTAAAGGTGTGTGCCACCAACGCCCGGCCTCTCATTGATTTCTAGGCAGACTAGTGAATGAGTTTAGAAATTTGTCTCTCTGCTCCGCACGCCCCACTGGGGGGTTATAGGCACATGCCACTGTGCCTGGCTTCTTAGGTGGGTTCTGGTGACCCAAACTCAGGTCCTCATGCTTGTAAGGCAGATACTATACCAAACAAGCCACTTCCATAGCTCAAATTTTACTATTTTAGTGAATTTCAAGTCCCTTATTGTTACTGGGTTTTGAAGGGGATAAGGGGATAGAAAGCCTTGCCAAGTAGCCCAGGCTAACCTCCAACTCACAAGCTTCCTACTTTAGTCTTACAAGAGCTGGGATTACAGTTATTAGCCACTATGCCCAACAGGTTTCTAAATCTTATTCATTTTCTAATTCTAAGTTTGTATCCTTTGACCAACATCTCCCCATTTTCTGTACCTAATTCTTGGGAGCACCCTTCTCTCCATTTCTAAGAGTGAATCTATTTTATATATGAGAACGTGCATTTGTCTGTGCACTAATTTACATGACATAATGTCTTTCAGGTTCATCTATGCTATCCCAAATGGGCAGATTTCCTTCTATTTTAAGGCCAAGTAGTACTTCCTATTACACAGATACATCACATTGTGTGTGTGTGTGTGTGTGTGTGTGTGTGTGTACAAAATATAAATACAGTTCACATTTATCCATTTACTTATCAACAAACATGTCTGTTTCTATTATCTTGGCTATTGTAAATAATACTGTAACAAAGCTATAGCAATGCAGTTTATTTCTCAGAGGTAGTGACTATAATTCCTTTCAGTTTCCTTACCTAATAGTTCAGTTTCACATGCACTACTTCAGAGTGTGTGTGTGTGTGTGTGTGTGTGTGTGTGTGTGTGTGTGTGTGTGTGTGTGTATGACTGGCCCACTAATCTTTCTCTGCTGTTTTGTTGTTTTTAAAGAGATAGGGTCTAACTATGCCACACTGGTTGACCTGGAGCTTGTTATGTAACTAGGCAGCTTCAAATTCACAGAGATCTACCTGCCTTTACCTCTGGAATTAAAGGCTTGTGCCACTATCCACACAGCTCTACTCTTTCTTGGCCTCTCTTTTTTTTTTTAAGATTTATTTCTTTATAATGTATTTAGTGTTCTGCTTGCACGTATGTCTGCATGCCATGAGGGCACCAGATTTCATCATATATGGTTGTGAGTCATCATGTGGTTGCTGGGAATTGAACTCAAGACTTCTGGAAGAACAGCCAGTGCTCTTAACCTCTGAACCATCTCTCCAGTTCTTTTCTTGGACTCTTAAACTGAGCCCATCTTGTAATGTTTTCCTTATAATAACAGTACCAATTTATCCTACCTTACAGATCTAGATGTCTTAAACTATGAATTCATTTTCTTTCTTTCCTTTTTATGCAGACAAGGTCTCACATGTAACCCAGGATGGCCTCAAATTCACTATGTAGTCAAGGACAACCTTGAACTGCTGATGGTCCTGAGATAACAGGCTTGTGCCACTACACCCAATTAATTTAGCACTAGGGATTGAATTTAGGGCTTCATGTATGTTAGGCAAGCAAGTGAACTACATTTTCCACCCCTTATTTTCAATTCTAAAGATTTAATACGTATTGTTTTATTTGATTCTCACAATAACCCCAGGGAGGTAGAAAAGAATTAATATATCTATATAGAAGAAAGATAACCTGAGGCCAACAGGTAACATAGACTGTCAGTGCAAAATCAAATCAGAGTCCAGATCTTTCTTTCATTTTCTACACTATACTATGCTGTATTCTTATGAATTCTACTTTTTTTTCCTCCCTAGAGATAGGGATATACAGTTTCTCTGTATAACCCTGGCTGTCATGAAACTCACTCTGTAGACCATGCTGACCTTGAACTCAGAGATCCACCTGCCTCTGCCTTTCTGAGCACTGGGATTAAAGGTGTGCACTGCTGCCACCGCCTGCGCTGCTGCCACCACCACCACCCAGCAATTTCTTTACTTCTTAACCATCACATGTATATGTTTGGACATGTTTAAGGAGATAAATACTTATAACACAGCACAAATGAAAAAGCCAATTGATGTAGCCAGTAACTAACATCCTCTCCCACACAACTCTCCACAGCAGCTTTGTGATCAGGACTTGCCCTCTGTTCCATACTGCCCCCAAATGTCTCTGACAGGTTTGTCACCACACCTGAAGTTCTCACTGGTTGAGTCACTTCTTTGGGTTAAGGCGATGTTTCCAGAAGGCCACTGTGAAATGCATGTTATCTGAAAGAGAAGAAGGGCCCATACTCAGGTTAAACAGATCCGTGATAACCTTGGGAATCCCCCCCCCAAAAAAAGTCTTTATTTGCCTTCCCCCCCCCAAAAAAAAAAAGAATCCACAAGAAAGAAAGACATTTTATACAGAACAGATAAGATAAAAAAAACTTCTGGGGAAATGACTCCTGCACAGTATGGGATAATATCCACTTGGATATGATGGACATTTGCAAAATAAGGATAACCATATATACACATATTCTTTCCATAAGGGTCACTGTAAAGTATATTCCTACAAGTCAGATACTCCTAGAGACTGGAACACAGGCTGGGGGAAGCACTGAGTATCTGAGTTAAAAAAGCAACAAAAGTTAAAGCTGGCAGCAGCTTTCCAACAAAGGTCACTAGTAGATTGGAGGAGGGCGAGGTCAGGGACAGCTTCTCATTAGTACTACTACTCATTAGAAAAAAGCTGCAACTTAGTATTTTCAGATGAGGACACCTCTCAACCAGGGAAGGCCCCTTACTGATCTATATTGACTAAAAATCAGTATCATTTACAGCACAAAAGTTGGCATATCTTTACTGAATGCTTTTTATGAACCCATAATTTGCTAAGCACCATAAATACAGTAAGAAAAAACAAAATTTTACCTTAGTTCTATTAACCAATCCCCAAACTAAGAGAGGTAAGGCCCAAGAAAGGAAAGGGAGCCTTGAGACTGGCAGTTTCCTGTTAGTACTAACTCAATTTCCTGAGTCAAAAGGAGTACACTAAACTCCTTTCTAGGCTAAAATTCATTACCCTCTTGTCTATACAATAAATAGGCATAGGTAGAAGTATTTTTTTTCTAATATGACAACAGTTTGTATAGTAGCATACACTCACTTCAGTAAACCGGAGAGTACGAGAGTTATAGCATTTGCTTCTAGTTCTAGCTCTAACTCTAACTAGTTTTAGATAAAGTATCTTTTTTTTTTCTTCTCCTCCTTCTTCTTCTGAGACAAACTCTCACTATGTACATCTGGCTCACCTGGAACTAGCTATGTAGGCCAGACATATGGATCTCTGTGAGTTCAAGATCAGCTTGTCTTCAAAAACAAAAACAGAAAGCTAAGAGACTAGGCCAGTGTAATAGTATATATGTGGCATATGCATGTGTGTGCATGCACACATACACAGACTACCTACTAGATAACTGTTCACTAGAGATATCAGTCATCAATCATAACATACTTCCCCAGAGAACTAATACAACCAGAATCCACTTTTCTTGGTGGGGGTTGGAGGTGAGGACCTCACACTGAAGCATAGATTGGCCTGGATCCTCCCTAACAGTAAGTACTTCCAGAAGCTATTTCCAACCAAAGTTGGCCTGCAACCTAAAACATATTTGCCACTATAAAATAGACAATCTCTTCCAATTGTAAAGCTCAAGTACCAAGTTTCTATGACTAGAAGGAAAACACACTGAGCAATATGGATTGATGTGCTGACAGTCACATAGTCCAAAACTCAAGCTCAGTTCCTGATTGTATATGATCTAGCTCTAATTTCTCAAAGATGCTAATGACTATATTCTAAGAGAAAGGGAACCCTTTAGCCAGACAGCCCTAAAACAATCCTATCAAAAAACATGGCAACCCCTTATTCAGTTCCTCCTCCAAGACCAACCTCGGTCACTTACAAGGCAGACTTCTGCAAGTCACTTTCACCCTTTCGCTTTTATCCCAGAGTCATCTTTTTAAAACAAGCGCCAACTTACATCACTTCCTTTCCCAAAAACCTTTATCTCTGTGGACATTGGTGGTGCACGCCTTTAATGCCAGCACTTGGGAGGCAGAGGCAGGCAGATCTCTGTGAGCTCGAGAGGCCAGCCTGATCTACAGAGCGAGATCCAGGACAGCCTACAAAACAATACAGAGAAACCCTGTCTCAGAAAAAAAACAAAAAGCCTTTATCTCAAACAACATAAAACTAAAAACTACTAGCCTTGTACAGAGAAGTTTTCTAGAATCGCTCCTTTTACCTTTCTGGCCTTAAGTCCCACAACGCTGTTCTCCACTGTGCTTCCTGCTGAACTCTTTTTCTCCCAGTCTGCCTGATTGACACAGCCTTGAGACATTAAGGTATTTCCTTTCTGCACTGCCTTCCCTTTCCTCGCCTCTGTCACATTCCTACTTATCCTTTAGAGCAGTGGTTCTCAACCTTCCTAATGCTTCAACCCTTTAACACAGTTCCTCATGTCATGGTGACCCCCCTACACCAACCATAAAACTGTCTTTGCTACTTCCTAACTATAATTTTGCTACTGTTATGAACCATAATGTAAATATTTCTGGAGACAGAGGTTTGTCAAAGGGGTTGAAAGCCAATGCCCTACACAGAACTCGGTTGTTTAGGCTTTTTTTTTTTTTTTTACGAGACAGGGTTTCTCTATATTGTTTTGGAGGCTATCGGTCTAGCCCGGCCTCAAATTCACAGAGATCCGCCTGCCTCTGCCTCCCGAGTGCTGGGATTAAAGGCATGTGCCACCACCGCCCGGCCTGTTTAGGCTTTTTTTTTTTCCAGACTGGGTCTTACTATGTAGCTCTGGTGGGCCTGGAACTCACTACGTCGACCGGGCTAACCTTGAGTTGGTACACCACCAAGCCTAGTCCTCACTGACCAGTCTTGCCACTTCCTTCAATAATTCCCACACTAGTCACTTCTACTTCCTTTCCTAGCTGAAAACTTTTTGAGCTGTCCTTGGTATAGCCACACTACTGTTTGCCTCAGTAGCTCCCAAGACCACCCAATTACTTGAGATGTATTTTCAAATAAACTGGTAGAAGCCAATCCTGACCTACAATTCAATCTCAAAAATGAAACCTGAGAACATCTCTGTTTTTCCAAAAGGGACTCACCTCCCAGTGCTACTGAGGTGTAAACTCTGGGTTTTGTGTGTGGTAAACAAGTGCTCTACCAACTGAGCAGCATCCTCTACTTTTAAAATCTCTCCTGAGCTGTGCACTGGTGGTTCACCCCTTTAATCCCAGCACTCAGGAGGCAGAGACAGGCAGATTGATGAGAGTTCAAGGTCAGCCTCACTACGGAGTGAGTTCCAGAACAGCCAGGGCTACACAGAGAAACCCTGCAACCCCCTCCCCCAAAAAAGTTCTGGTTCAGCAGAATAGCTCATTAAGTAAAGACATTTGCTATGAAAGCCTGATGACCCAAGTTTGATCCCTGGAACCCACAGAGTAGAAGGAGGAAACACTCTTAAGGGCTATCTTCTGACCTCCTACTCAAGTCCTGGCATACACACACACACACACACACACACACACACACACACACACACACCAACAAATCTAAAAATTCCTTCTGTACCCATAGTGTACCTACAACTCCAGCACTTGGAGGCAGAGACAGGAAGACACAATTAAGTGTGATGCCAGTCTAAGTTTACACAGGGTATTCCAGAGCTATATAGCAAGATCACGTCTCAAAACAAAAGAAAAACAAAAAGATTAGAAGGTCTTATAGTTATGCCAATGAAGAAACTTTGGGACCATGGGTCAGTCTTCCTCTTAATGAATGTAAAGCTATTTTTAAAAGAATGTAGAATTTATTCACTCTACAATAGTTGCTTTTGGTTTCATTATATCCTTGTTGACATCTATTCTAAAGTCTGAATTCATGAGCTCACACACACAAAGTACACTCAGTGTTCAAAGGAGAATTTCCTCTTTTCTAAAACCTGAAAATTTTTTAAAAAACTGGAAAAATTAAGCCTTAAATAAACCTGTGATACACAAGGCTGAATCTCATCAAATTTGCCCCCCCAAAAAAAAAAACAAACTTTATTTCAGACGAGAACCAAGCCGGCTGCCAACCCTGAGAGTGGACATACACGGCCTTTATCTATTTTCATAAGATCTCTCGGGTCCAGGAGAAACACCGCACTTAGGAGCACAATGATGGGTGGCTAGGTTGTGTTCTGTAACTTTGAAGGAAAAAAATCCAAAACTCTCACTCTTTCCTCCCCACTTCTCCCTTCAGACAAGTTCACTACAACTGTTAGAGTGAAGCAGAAAATTCAACAAGATTAGGATTTTACTAACACAACCAAGAAAACAAGTGACTAGGGAACCGTCGGTTTCGGGTACTCCGAAAGTTCACCTGGTCACATATCTAACTTTAGGCCCAACGCCTACCTCGGGTGCACTGACCCTTACATATTTTCTCTTTTGAAGTTGCAGCCCGAAACCACGTCTCAAAACTCGAGTCTTCTACTTTAAAGTCATGTCTTCATCAGGCTTCGACCCCTCACATGCGCTCACCTCTACTTTTTTCTTTGCTAAAGAAAAGTACGCTCTCGAAAGGAAGGACAGTGACAGCTCCACGTCCTCAAAAGTCGGCGGCGCCGGCCTGGGCCGGGACCACCATAAGTGGGGACAATGGAAGGAGGAGGGGAGTGAAAGACTGGAAGGGGAGGCAGCCACGGGAGAAGGTCCTCCGCGAGTGGGAGCTTGGAAAAGTCTCGGGAGAGCTTGCCAGGTGGCAGGTGGGCCCGGCCGCCGCCCCTCGAAGGGCCACGTCGCTCGGGCGGGCCGCTGCCACCGGGCCCCGCGCGTAGGCCGGGCCGCGGGAGAGGAGCCCCCCGGCGCGACAGCGGGGCTCGGCGCTGGACCCTGCCCACGTCCGCCTCGGCTCGGCTCTCTTCCAACTTGGGGTTCGCGGGGCCACCGGCTCGGGCCTAGGCCAGGCACTAGCAGCTCGGCTCGTCCCGCAGACCCACCCTCCGCCCGGCTTGGGCCACCAGCCGGAGCTCCGGGCGCCCCCCACGGACACCGGCTGCGGGAAGAGCAGCCTCGGCTCTGGGTCCGGACTCGCACGCCGCGCTCCTCTACCGCTCGCACTCTCCATGCCTTTCCCCATGCCAAGCTCCCTCCTAACTACAGAACTGCCCCCAGCTCCCAGCCCCCAGCGGGTGTTTACCGGGACTCGGGGCGGCGACGACTCCTCAGTCCCTCCACTAAGATGGCAGCCGGTCCCGAGCCCCGACTACAGCGACTAGAGCGAGTTCGCATCCAGTGCGCAGGCGCGTCCCCTAAGGCGCAGTCGGGACTACATGCCCCAGCAGGCCTTGCGCGCCAGCCTGCTGTATCATTTTCTTCACCTCCAGGTGAAGTGGACCCAGTCTTGTTCTCTACATTTCCAGAGCTTTTTTATTTTCTTCCTTCTTTTTCTTCCCCTCTTCCTTTTTTCCTTCCTTTCTTCCTTTTTTTAACACTTCTCCTCACCACCCCCTATCCCACTCCCACTCCCCACCCCCGCCAAAACCTCTGAAGACTGTTACCAAACTCTAGTGTGCCTTAGAATCCCTAGAACAGCTTATAAAAACAGACCTCTGAGCTCCCACCGCCAGTTTCTGACTCAGTAGATCTGGGATAGGGTGGGGAGTGTTTTATAATTTGCATTTTTAGCAAGTTCTCTAGTGATACTATTGACAGCAGGAATCACAATTTGGGAATCACTGAGCCAGTTTAATCCTTCTGGAATTACACTGATTGGGTTCAAATTCTCTTTTCTCCACCTTTTTGACAGGGTGTTCTTAGGAGGGTGACAGCTTGACAGTGCCAACGCGGCAGGAGTTCTAAAAAATGAAAAGCATACTTCTTGATGCTTACCACAAAACTATGAGAAAAATGTCATTTGTTACCGTTTTCAGACGCTTAAACTGAGCAGCATGTAGGATAAGAAACCCAAGCAAGTGCATCTAAGCCTATCCTCAACCTCCCTTGGAAGTGTTTGTGAGAATTGATAGGCTGTACAAACAGAAGCACTATTTAAGCACTTGATAATTATCCGTCTTTTCCACTATTGTTTAGCCTGTCTCCTCGTAAGGAAACCGTCTAGCGAGTCACTTACACTTTTTGCAGTACCTTTGAAACTGCTGTACTCTGCATGATGTGATAGGAGAGTTTGTTAAAAAATAAAGACTCTGGGCTGGTAAGACGGCTCAGTAAGTATTTGCCATGCAAGCACAGGACTTGAATTGAATCCGCAGGGTCCATATAAAAGCTGACGTAGACCCTCCCCTAGCACTGGGGGCGGAGACACAAGCTCCCTAGTTAACCAACCAAGATCAACGTTCAGGTTCAGTGAGAAGACAAAGACAGCTGGATCTCAGAGTTCACAATTAGCCAGGTCTAAATAGAGAGTTCTAGTGGTTACATAGTGAAATCCTGAGTTTCAGGGTGTTTGGTTTGGTTTTGAAGTATTTAAAAGTTCTTCTGCTCTTCCAACCAATGTTTGCCCCGTTAGGAATTATGTTGTAAGAGTAGGGATGTAAGCCGGGCGGTGGTGGCGCACGCCTTTAATCCCAGCACTCGGGAGGCAGAGGCAGGCGGATCTCTGTGAGTTCGAGGCCGGGCTGGACCGATAGCCTCCGAAACAATACAGAGAAACTCTGTCTCGTAAAAACCAAAAAAAAAAAAAAAAAAAAAAAAAAGAGTAGGGATGTAGCTCACTGGTAGAGCACTTACCTAGCATTGGTGAGGCCCAAGATCCTATTCCCAGTATGGAGAGGGTGGGGTGCTCTAGGGGAATCCGGGTTTTTTAACTAGCATCCCGATGACTCATATCACCAGGCATACTATAAAATATTAAGTGTTCTACTACTTTATACAGAGGGAAAAAAAAATGAGTATGAAGGAACTGGCCCAAGATCACTAAGAAAAGAGTCAACTATCTCCTTCCAGATAGTCTTTGTCTACAACTGTTCTTTGTTTTGGGGACAAATTTTCACTGTGTAGCTGAAGCTGGCCTCAAACCCAGGCTTCTTCACCCTCAGCCTTCCCAGTACTGGAATTGATTACAAGCATGAATTACCACACTCAACTTGTCTGCATGCTTATTTTCAGTTCTGTTTCATTGATTAGTGTGGACTCAGAGAACTTTCAGAGACTGACTCTCTCCTCCCATTGTGGGATCCAGATATCAAGCAAGAATGGAACTCAAGGAGTCAGATTTGTAGATTACTTGGCCAGCCCCACAATTTTAAGATTCTATAATAGGTAAAATTAAAGTGTTGGAAATCAAAAGCTATACTCCAAACCTCCCCCAAGAATGTCTTTTTTCTTATTATTGTTCTGGGGGTTTATGTAGGACATGGACATTCTAGGTGTGTGTTGTGTCCCTGAGCTGTACACAACCCCTAGATGCTCTTAGAAAGTTCTAGAATGAGACCAGGAATGGGCATTTCTAACACATTTGCAGATGATGCTGACCCCTAGAAGTCATATTTTGTGACCATTGAACTGTGCTGCCTTAAGCTTCTTACCAGTGTCAACAGGGCAAACTAGCCCTGATGTATGAGGCAGGAACTGACAAGAGTTAATAATGTGGATTTCGGAGAAATATAAAAATCCAGTCCTTCTACCAATAAATTACTGAGCCCATGTCCAACCGCTTGCCACTGAATGTCAGTCCTCCTCTAGAGGTGGGAGACTGGGTAAAAAGGAAGTCAGTTTTATTCAGAGTCTGATGTTCTGAGGAGATGGGGCCTATTGCCTCAGAAGCCCATCCCGGGTAACGGGAAATTTGGGAGCACAAATTGTGAGGTATGTGTGTGTGTGCACGCATTCGTGTGTGCATGGGTGTCTATCTGTCTGTCTGTGTGTGTCTTTGGGGAGGGGAACACAGAGGGTAGAGGTTGATGCCAAGTGTCCTCCACTACTTTTGGAGGCGGGGCCACTTACTAAACCAAGAGCTCACTGACTCAGCTAGTCTGTCTGGCCAACAAACCCAAGGATTCTCCCCTCTTTGCTTCCCCAGTGCTGGGATTACAGGTGTGTACCACCAAGGCCAGTTTTTCACAAGCGTTCTGAGAATCATAACCTCGTACTTGAGCAGTAAGCGCTCTACCTACTAAGCTATCTCCCCAGCCCAATGAAAGACTTTTCTAAGAAGGGGAAGGAAGGGAGGTAGCAATGGGCAGGCCTCCTAGAACAAACACTACTCTCTACAAGTTAAACATCATAGCAACTTACATGTTCTATGCTATCTGATGCCCAGAATCAAAGAATAGGGAATGGCAGCACACATTCTGATGTTATAGGCAGGTCAAGGTTCTGTAAATCTAAGGTAAGATTACTTAAAAGTTATCATCTTAATCATCCAAGGAAAACTGGGAATTTGGAATGAGAACTTAGAATACTCAGCAAAAGGAGGGGAACAAAAAGTAACTGAGCCAAGGGAAGACGCTCAAGTGAGCAGCCAATGTCACTTTGCTTTCAAAGTCACAGACACCGTCATCTGAGCCCCCACAACCAAATCAACATATGAAAATATTAGATCCTGTAACAGAGATGTGTGTGCCAGAGCCAGGGCCTGACAGTGCTGACAAGCTGGGCTGGTCCATCTATCCCTCAACAAGCTAACAAAAGAGACAAAATAATACTGACAAGCAGAAAAAGGAGATTTGGGAGGCTGGAGGGATGGCTCAGAGGTTAAGAGCACTGGCTACTCTTCCTGGGGTCCTGAGTTCAATTCCCAGCAACCACATGGTGGCTCACAACCATCTATAACGAGATCTGGTGCCCTCTTCTGGCATGGAGGCAAAATGCTGTATACATAATAAGTAAATAAATAAATCTTTAAAAAAAAAAAAAGAAAGAAAAAGGAGATTTGATGCACTATGAACATATTGAGCAACAAAGAGGTCCAGTGACCCCCCAAGTCCAACTTTAGGATCCTGACACAAGGCTTAGGGTTATGTAAAGAGCAAGGGGTATAAATAGTTAAGCAGTCATGGATAAGGTGAGGTCACTGTCTGAGCTCCAGTCTCTCTTGAAAGTTAAATTGTCAGAGCTTTGTGGCATCTTTTTGGGAGGAAGTTCCCCTCTGTCTGGCTCCCAAGGCCTTTCCCTTCACCAGAATGAGACTCCTGGGAAGATTCTAATTTCTTGGGGTCCTTGTCCCAATAGTTTGATAGCTGAAGGAATGGGTACAAATATCTCTTTTGATGTCTTCATTCCTACCAGGATGGTTACAAGGCCACCGCCCAGGATGTTGTGAAGATTCAGGCAGCTATAAAATAGGTACTTGGTGGTTCTCCAAGAGGCTGTATTGGTCAAGGCAGCAAATCACAGATAGGCCATTTCCTCATTCTTTCACGCTGTGTGATTCTGGCTCTCAGTTTTCTTGAGTCAGAACTACCCCAGGCTTGGCCTGACTGAAAAAATTAAAATGCAGAAACAGTGGTTAATATAACCTCAAATCACTTTCATTTTACTTCTGTCTAGGACACCAGGTCAGCCAGGAACAAAAGCTCTTGCTACAGCAAAGCCTTGAAGTCCGAAAAAGCTGACTATAAGCAAGGGAAGGTAGTACCCAGATGCACATGGAGTTACATGTCAGTAATACCTGCACTTTGAAGATGAAGGCAAAAGGATCAAGAGCTTAAGGTAACCCTTGGCTACGTAGTGAGCCTGAGGACAGCTTGAAGAGCATAAGACCCTGTCTCAAAGAACAAAAGGGGAAGAAGAGGGAGGAGGGTGAAGAGGAAGAGTAAAAGGAGGAGAAAGGGGAGGGAAGAAGAGAAAGGAAAAGAGGGGAGAGGAGGAGGGGAGAGAAGAAAGCCCATTTCAGAAAGGGTTGAAAAAGACACCCCACTGGCCCACATGCCAGCTGTCCCTTAGTGGCTCTCCCTACAGAACACTTAGTCATGCTGCTGTCCCTCTCTTTCCTGCATTGGCTCCACTTTTAATTGCCACAGGCAGGGAAGGCTTGAATAGCTGTGCTAATGGAGAGAGATGCTTGATAGGGATTCAGAGAACTGAGATCTGGATCCAGAGACTGCTTAAGACCTAAGGCTGGGGAGCTGAGGTTGTAGCTCCTACAAGTTGTGCTGATTTCCACATATGGCGCGCGTGCACACACACACACACACACACACACACACACACACACACACACACACAGTAAAACACTGAAACTCAGCCTTTTGCTGGGCCTGATGGCATATCTCTGTAATCCCAGCACCAGAGAAGGTAGAGACAATAGCAGAACCAAGAGTTTTTAGCCATCCTCAGCTACATGCTGAGCTCCAGGTGAGCCTCAACTACACGGGACCCTGGAGTGTGTGAAGGGGGACACCTAAGGCTATAGCTACATCATTTCCTTTCTTTGAGGCTGTTTCCACATCTGCAGAATGAGTTATACAGGTTCTATCTTTGTTCCTGAGTCATATAAAAGGTAAGGAAAATGCTGAGGCGTGGAGAAGAAAACTAAGACTTTCCACAGAACAGGGTTGAAGTCGCTCAACATTTGAGAAGTCAAGCACAATTAACAATGTTTACTGAGAAGGTTGCAAATACAAAGATATTTCTTTCAGTTACAGATATTTTACGTTAAAATAGGGATGAACCAGGCTCCAGGCCTGAACGCATATGACCTTGGAAAGGGTTTCGTTCTTCTCCCAGACACTTTTTAGGAAACCCACAAACAAGAATATTCACTTTGCTTACAATAAATACCTTCTAACCTGCACTCCTGTAATCTAGACTTTTTCCTTATCAATTATCACCCTGTCAGATGGGCCCAGGAACCACACTGTCATCTCATTAGGTTTTTTAGCAACACTTTGAAAAAAATAGTTTCAAAAGCCTCCAAAATGCTATATACACAGTTATTGAGCAGCCCAAGTCCATGCTCTCCCCAAATATCCTGTTTCTTTCACAAGCTCCTTCTTCCTCAGAACCCTCTTGTTTAAAACCTGCATTGAAACCACTCACACCCCTTTAATCCTAGCACTAGGGAGGCAGAGGCAGGGAGATCTCTGTGAGTTTGAAGTTAACCTGATCTACAGAGGGAGTTCCAGGACAGCCATGACTACACAGAAAAAGACTAGAATTAAAGATGTACGATACCACCACCACGCTTAACATATTTTTACAGTCAAAATTGCATGTGACTAACTTATGCTATTTTTTTTCATTATCTAAGATACAAAAAAATGTTTGAGACAGGGTTTTACTACATAGCCCTGGCTGGCCTAAAACTTACTGTGTAAACCAAATTGGTCTTAAACTTATAGAGATTTACCCACCCCTGCCTCCCAAGTACTGAAATTAAAGGCATATGCCACCACACCTGGCTAATATTCAAAACTTTTAACATTTTAAAATAGTTTTTATTTTTACATTTTAATTACATGCTGTGTGTAGAGGTCAGAGGACAGCTTGGCAGGAGTTGCCTCTCTCTCCCCATCACATGGTTCCCAGGGACTGAACTTCAGTCAGGCTTGGTGACAAGTGCCTTTACCAGATGAGTCAGCTCTCTGGCCATAATTAACTTGTACGTAGCATACAAAGTACAGTATTTTACTGCAGCACATACATATGTGTATATATATATATACACACACACATAAATACATACATACATATATATGTATGCATACATATATATCACTTCCCTACTGCTTTCCCTCATGCCCCTTCACTCAAAAATTCAAATTTAACTGGGCATCCTATATGGTATTTGGCAACTTTGCTTCCTACTAATAATCAAGGGTAGCAAATGTAAAGACCAAGTAAGTAAAATAAAATTTCCCTAATATTTACTCTTACATTGCAATCACTAACTTACTATTCTTACATTGTAATCACTAAATCTTGCCCTAAGAGTTTCATATGCACTATGTCTTTAAACATGTATGCCAACATCAGTAGGATGGTCAGTTTCCTCATCTATAAGATGGGAATAGTAATGCATCTGTATTTAGTATTATTGGGGATTAAATTAGCTAATACATGTAAAACACAGTAACTGTCAGGTCTTGTGGTCCATATCTTATGCTAGCACTAGGAAGGCTGAGGCAGGAGGATTCTTGCAAGCTGATGGCCAGCCTGAACGGCATTATGAGTCCCAGGCCAGACAGGGATATAGAGAAATACCTGTCTCAAAACAAAAAACAGACAAGAAAACAAGCGGGAGACATACACCTTTAATCCCAACACTCAGGAGGTGGCATCAGGAGTCAGAAGCTCATGGTCAGCAGGGAGATACTCAATGGGGAAAGCACTTGCTTGAAGACATAAGTTCAGCTTCTAAGAATTCACAAAAAATAAGACAGGGTAAGTCAGGCAGAGGTGGAGCCAGGAGGTGGTGGTGCACACCTTTAATTCCAGTACTCGGGAAGCAGAGGCAGGCCCATCTCTGTGAGTTCAAGGCCAGCCTGGTCTATAGAGCAAGACAGTGCTGCGTTCCAGCAGACATAGGAGAGTGCCCAGAATCCCAAAGATCAGCCTGGCCTACAGAGTAGCAAAGCTAGAAACCCTGTCTCAAACAAAGTGAGAGGCAAGGATTTATATTTGTAGTTGTCATCTCACACACACACACACACACACACACACACACACACACACACACGACAAAAAGGAATGAAATACAATAGATTTAGAAAATGAAATTTGAAGTCATCCTCAGTTATTTAGTGAATTTGAGTCCAGTCTTGGTTACATTGTGAGACCCTGTCTCCAATAAAAAATTAAAAAAATAGGAACTGGAGAGACATCGTAGCAGTTAAAAGCATTTCCTGCTCTTTCAGAGAACCTCAATTCAGTTCCATCACCAACATCAAATAATTCACAAGTGTCTATAACTCTGGCACCAAGGGATCTAATGCCTTCTTCTGGCCTCCTTGGGGATTTGAATGCTCCTGGGAATACTAACACGCAGATACACACACATATATGTAAGTGACAATAAATCTTTAAAAATTAAAAAGAAGCCAGGCAGTGGTGGCACACGCCATTACTCCCAGCACTTGGGAGGCAGAGGCAGGTGGATCTCTGTGTTTGAGGTTCAGCCTGGTCTACAAAGTGAGTCCCAGGATAGCCAGGGTTACACAGAGAAATGCTGTCTTGAAAAACCAACCCCCCAAAAAAACAAACAAAAAAATCAAATAAAAACCAACACACACACACAATTAAAATGAAAATATTGGAAACCAATCCAAGGTGCTGTTTCTTTTATATACAGGATAATTAGTAAACTATCAAATATTCATCCAGACAATGAAATACGAGTAAGCAAAGAGAAAGAACAAATTGTGACAACACAAATTGTGATTATGTAAAAGATGGTAGATAGGCATGTAGATAGGTAGACAGGCAGGAAGGACAGACAGACAGACAGGTGACAGATATATGCATACATACGTGCATACATACATAGACAGGTAGATGATACATAGGTAACAGGCACCATCTATTAGGAAGGTAGAAAGATAAATGACAGATATTGATGTGTCCTGATTTCTGACAGGAAATTCTCAAATACTTCCAAGTAAGAAGTGTCGTTTTGTACGTTGAGTCAACTGATGGCTGGCGGCCCCTAGGTAGCTCTGGAATGGGGCTATCACTGGAAAATACAAAACAAATTTAGAAGACTGAGACTTTCTATGCTACATACCCCCAGCTAACTGGCCTGAGAGGTTCCGGGGTTCTCCAGCCTCTGCCTCCCATCTCACCATAGGAGAGCCAGGATTACAGATGTGCATCATTACGTCCAGTGTCTTAGGTGGATTTCCAGGCTCAAATTCAGGTCATCAGGCTTGCAAAACAAGTGATTTTACCTGCTAGCCATGTTGATGGCCCAAGGCAAGTGCTAGAAATAGCAGAAACAGCAATCAGAAGGTGAGCTGATCACTTCAAAATAACTTTTCTTGTAAACATTAATGAAAAGTTTTGCACTCTCCGTCAATACAGCAATCCAAATCAGACCAAATTAAACCGAATTAGAAAACACCCCCGTTTAATGGATACAATGGTCCTGGATGGCCTTCCAGTCCCTGAAAGAAGAGACAGGAAAAGGAGATGGGAAAACCACGAGTCTGTTTTCTGGGTGGTAGTTTAAGTACCCTGTGGGAGTGGTCTTGAGCATCTCTGGGGGAGGGGACATCATATGTCAGACTTTCTGAGATGCAGCAGGGTTTGGAGAGAGACAGCGAAGGGGGCTGGGTGGAGCCTCCATCATGACATCCCATACTCTGGGTATATGGATGCCAGGGGCTGGGGTGAAGCTTCCACCATAACAATTAATACATGGTGATTTAGCCAGGTGGTAGTGGTACACGCCTTTAATCTCAGCAGAGTCAAGCAGGTTTCTGTGTGTTCGAAACTAGCCTGGACTACAAAGGTAGTTCCAGGACAGCCAGGGCTACACAGAGAAACAAAAACAAAACCAGCAAAAAAGACACGGAGCCTTACACTTTAGGATGACACAGTTTTGATTTGATCTGTTGGGTCTAGTTTAGGAGCTCAATCTAAAGCAATGTCTGCTTTGTATTTTACTTAACATAAGCAAAAGCCAAATGTTAAATGCTAGTTAATGATGGTCATGCTAAAGTGTTTAAAGGGAGAGTGAACTCTACAGCTTCATTGAAACTGTCAAAAAATAGAGATGAATGGGCAGAGACAAGGAGGGATCGATAAATGAATGTGTGACAGAGCAAATCGGTTGATAATTACAGAACCTAAGAGGTAGGTAGGTGGACATTTGCTGTTTAATCTTTCCCACTGTATGCAGTTCTACCTGTTTAAATATTTTCATAGTGAAATGTTGGGGGTGGGAATCCTGGTACAGCCCCCGCAAGTTTTTTCCTTTTTTGCTTTCAAATTTAATGTTATCCTTAGCCCATGAAACCTCCAGTGACCAACCTTTATACATTGCAAACTGGAATATTTTCTTTCCCTAAAGTGATCACTGGAGATGTCTGTCCTAAACTAGAATCTGCAATCCAAAGAAGAGGCAACAACAACAAAAAATGCAGACTAAAGTCACACCTTAAAAATTCTTCAAGCAAAGATAGAACCAAGCAGCAAGCATCCAGGTCACTTTACATAAGCTGGGAAGGTGTCAGACAGAAAGACTCTCCGGAATCTGAGAGCTCACCCTGATTCACTCAGACATCTCTGCAGGTGGCACAGGGTGCAATGAGAAATATGCAAACGATGAAGCTTTCTGCTAAATCCCTGGGGAGTCTCTAGGCCTGGGTGGAGAGGAGACAGGTCCCACGAGGTCAACTGGTCTAGTCAGCTGCATTCAGACTGTTTCTTCATCTGTGAAGCAGGACTAGTGGTGGTATCTTGCATACCTCTTAGGCTCATGGGAAAGATGAAACCAGAGGTAGGTCCAAAGGTGCAATAAAAAGGCTGTGTCCCAGAACAGTCAGACGGCTAACTTGAGAGCAGCTGATGACTAGCAGTAGTAGGACTGGTCCTCCCAATTCTAGAGTCCTCTCACTCTGCCAGGTTAAGCCGGTGTCTTTTAAGGAGTTGTGCAAAGGTAGATATGCACAAGATGACTTTACATTGAGCCATAAATGAACATATACAATCTTTACTGCTGTGGATGCAAGCTCATCGGCAGAGCATGTCCTTAGCATGAGTGAGATCCTGAATCCAATCCCCACCATGAAAAGAAAAAACATACAAAACTTCCATGATAACGTTTTCAATGATAAAACCCGTGATGGTGGCACATGCCTATAATATCAGCTCTTGAGAGGTGGAGCGGGAGGGTCAGCTCAGGACCAGCCTCAACTATGTGAAACCAAACCTCAAAACTACAAACCTTTGGGCTAGACATTTAGTTCAGTTAACAGAGTGCTTGCCTAACATGCATGAAGCCTTAGCTTCAGTACCCAGCTCCGTATAAACTACATGTGAGAATGTATGCCTGTAATCCCACCACTCAGGAGGCAGAAGTAGAAGGATCACAAGTTGGTGGTCATCCCAGCACTTGGGAAGCAGAAACAGGCGGATCTCTGTGAGTTTGAGGACAGCCTGATCTACGAAAAAGTTCCAGGACAGTCAAGAATGTTACACTGAGAAACCTGTCTCAAAAAAAAAAGTTTGTGGTCATTCTAGGCTGTATTTAGTGAATTCAGAAGACAGCAATGGGGATGGAGATGGAGAGATGGCTTAGTGATTATGAACATTGGCTGTTCTTCCAGAGGACCTAGGTTCAATTCCTAGCACCCACATAGCAGCTGTGTGTGATTCCACTTCCAGGGGATCTGATACCTTTGTGCACATAAGATAAAGTTAAATAAATTAAAAGAACCAAAGAGCATTGGTGACGCACGCCTTTAATCCCAGCACTCGGGAGACAGAGGCAGGTGGATTTCTGTGAGTTCGAGGCCAGCCTGGTCTACAGAGCGAGTTCCAGGACAGCCTCCAAACAATACAGAGAAACCCTGTCTCGAAAAACCAAAAAGAAAACAAAAAAACAAACAAGAGTGCCTTGTGGAGGTCTGCCTTTTACAAACAGATTGAGACATGGGAACCCTCTCGTAAAAAAAGGGAACTGGATGAAAGCATATATTGTAGACATGAAAGAATTGTCTGGGTTAGAATATTGTTGTCCTTAAAGCATTGTGCCCATGTCTATTACTTTTTAACTTTGTAACCACAAGTAGCTGCGAGCTGACATAAGCACTGCAAGAGCAGGATGTTTCTGGCTTGATATTTAGTTCAGCCTGCAAAAATTCTGAACTCTAGGTCTAGAATAAGGTTATGCAGGGGGTGGAAATGTGTATTTGGGGACTCATAAAATGGAACAATGAGAGCTTTCGTAATGACCATGATGTGTTCCTTAAATTATGTTGTATTTCTTAAAATAAAAAGATAGAAGGCAATAATAAAACTGCTCATGTAACCCTGGTAAGAAAAACTTTAAGTATAAATAAAGACAGCCTGAGCTATTTGGGGCCACTTGAGTGCAATCCATTGGTTGTCAGAAGTTTTCCTTGCATGGACACCCCTTCCCCATCTCAGGACCTGAACTCGAGCTGAGGTTGGACCCTGACAGGGAGGGGTCTGGGACATAGTCAGTGAGAGAGGTCTCACCTAGCATATTTGAAGCCCTGGGTTCAGTCCCTAGTAGTGTAAATGAACAAGCAAACAAAAGTCTTTGGGGCACTTCTTAGAGTACACAGTGTTAGGACATGTCTAGTGATCTTTGCTTAAAGAGCACAGTCATGCTAAGCACATAGCTGAAGCCTGTAGTTGTAGCTGATGTGGGAGGAAAGTCTCCGTAAGTCTGGAGCCAATATAAGCTACACATGGAGTTCCAGCCTAGTCCAAAAAGACAAAAGAAAAAGACCTGGCCTCTAAATACATACACACATATATACATACATACATACATACATACACACACACACACACAAAATTATAGGCATAGTCAGTCAGGAGCAAGGTTAGTGTGTTTTATGTCAACTTGACACAAGCTAGAGTCATTTGAGAGGAAGGAATGTCACTTGAGGAAGTATCTCCATAAGACTGTGCTTTAGGCAAGCCTGTAAATCATGTTCTTAATTAGTGATTGATGGTGGAGGGCTGGTGGTCCCGGACTCTATGATAAGGCATGCCGAACAAACTAGGAGGAGCAAGCTAGGAAGCAGCACCCCTCCATGGCTTTTGTATCAGCTCCAGCCTCCTGGTTCCTGCTCTCCTTGAATTCTTATCCTGACTTCTTCCAATGATGAACAGTAAAGAGAAAGTGTAAGCCAAATAAGCCCTTTCCTCCCCAGTTTGCTTTTGGCCATGGCATTTCATCACGGCAGTAGTAACCCTAAGAAAGCGAGACAAGGTTATCACCCTTAATGATTCTAGTTTAAAGGCATCATTTTAGTAAAGTGTGCTTTGAAGGGCCACATGGTAGAAGATCTCTATAATACAAGAGGAGCATAAAGGCAGTTACCATATAAAGAAGCCAGCCACAAGTAGCATTGTGGGTTTTTTTTTTTCTTTTCCGTTTGTTTGAGATAGGGTTTTACTGTGTATCCCTGGCTATCCTGAAACTTACTTTGTGGGTTAGGCTGACCTTGAGCTAATAGAGTTCCTTCTGTCCCTTTCTCCTAAATCCTGGGACTAAAGGCGTGTGCCACCATGCTCAGCCACTCTCATGAGTTCTTAATGTATTACCTACTTCTGAAGCAAAATTTGGAATTTCTGTCTGGGTAGAAAATAGGTCTCTAATGCAGACAAAAACAAGAACTTTGGACCTTTTACAGATTTAGGAAGCAGTCCTGTGATATCAGCAGGCTAGTTCCCCGACTTAACAAACACAGACACACACTTTATATATTCAATAATAACATACTTATTAGGCAACCCAGACAGAAGTAGGCTGGGTTTGAAATAGGAAGACTGCCCAGTGGTGAGCTGTTTTTGTTTTCTGAGACAGGGTTTCATTGTAGCCCCGCAGGCCTCAAACTCACCACGTAGTCAAAGGTGGCCTTGAACTCTTCACTTTCCTGCCTTCACCTCCCAAGTGCTGGGAGTACAGGCCTGAGTCATCACTTCCTGCATAAAAGGCAAGTTTTTTATCTAAATTGTCCTGACTGTAAATAGCAGAAGTGTTTTTTAAAAATGTCATGTGTCAACAGTCCAGATATACTGTATACACACTGAATAACAGTGAGCCCTGCACTGATTGGTCACTTTGTAGGTATTAAACATGTGCCTTTAATTCCTCAAAGTTTTTCAGAATATATAGGTAGGTTTTAGACATATTGCTTTAGACATTATAGATACACAGCATCTTACATGTACTAAGATCACCTAAGGGGCCGGCAAGACGGCTCATCAGATTAATGT